AGTGAAGGGTAGGTTTTTGATTTCTTAATCCACTGAAGGCAGAAAAACCGGGAAGGTTTATTAAAACAGGTCATTTGTAGGGAATTTTGCGCTCATTTGCAATTCTTTCTAGCTGGATGTCGCCCCCTAGTTTGTCTCGCAATATAGTATCGTTTGGACAAGCACTTTAAAGAAGGAATATTCGTTAATATGTTACTAGTAAACAATATATCATCTTTATGCGCCTACGTTCTGCCTTTATTTCAGATGAGCTTAAATCTAAAACAAAAGTATGTTTCTATCAACCGTTTACAAGCTTGATGGTATCAGGGTATTTGAAAGTATGGTGTGAATGTGCACATGACTTGAATCGTGCATATTGTTCATTGCCATGGCGGGAAATGATGCACAAGCATTTATGATGTTATCATTTAGGAGTGTTAATGTCGAAACCTCTGGTTTTCTTGGTAAAAAATTGCACAACTTTTTTTTTGATAATTAAGGAAATTGTTTGGCATGAGACAAAATTTATTTAATTAAAAAATGTTATGCGGAATTAGAAAATTAGTTTCACATACATGCAAATGCAGTAAAATATTATAAATATGTAGGCATCAAATAAAAGAGATTTTAAGAAGCTTTAAGCCGTATATATTTATTTTTGGACAGGGTTGCCACCGTCTAAGCGTTGTTTGTAGTGAATATAGACCGTGACCAGACGAAAGGCATTGGGCACTAAAACACATTATTAACTAAAACTGAGGGTTTTTTGAATCACTGTGTACTGAGCGGGTATATGCCGGCAATCAAGGTTCAAACTATGACATGACTACATAAAACTACCAACACAATTTCGCGGCAGAACTTTTGAAACTGATTCCTATATAATTTTTTCCATAGATTAAGAATCTGGCCTTTAAATTTTTCCATTAGCTATAAATAGTTTCAGAGATATTTGGGATAACCTTCCATCCGCGAATTGAATTTACCTCACAGTTTGTGTTATTGTTATTTAAAATAACGCATAATCTCAAGAGAATTTTTATTTAAATACATAGTTAATTAAATTAAAGTGAAACTAATTAAAAATCAATCTTAAATTTCCAAACTACCTACGCGCTTTTATTCAGATACAAACAACGCGCGCATACACAATTTTGGAAATCTTAAAATATTTAAAGCCAAATTTCACTTCCATTGAAATTTCGGTTAAACGCCGAAAATGGTTATGTACGCTGTATTTATCCATTTGGCGCATATCAAGCAAAGTTTTAATACCTTAAGGCCGTAATGGTTTGAAGGCGGCAAACAAATGTACGTCATACGTACATACATACTTGCCTATGTGCGCACAAATGAATATCGCTTACCGTCAGCAAACGCTTATGCAAAAAACAAGCGAAGAATGTATACATGTGTAAGTTTGTAGGAAAACTTTCATTGAAGTCTAGAAGTGTGAAAGTTAATGTTCAAGTGCATGCTTGGAGCATAACGCGAATCGCTCCCCAAACTGCTCACCAAACTTACTCGCAAACATCGCGCATATATTTCTATACATACATATGTTACTCAGCCACTTGCAGCGCCATTAATGCGAGTATACATATGAGCTTGCGCTTGTATGGCTAACCCTCATTTGCATAAGTTTATTATTTCGCCGATTTCCCCTTTATATTCACAACGCTTTTCTTTTCACCCAGTGTGCTTTTCTTGCCCATTGCCTTTAAGCAGCAATTAAAAACTTTCCACTTTCTTACACATTTTAGCACATTTAAGCATCTTTTGTTTTGTTGCATTCCTGCAGGTACATACGTTATGTATGTATAACGTTGATAAATATTGTACTTAAGCAAGTGAAAGCGTGTATAATTTCTACTACATACATATGTATGTAATAATGTACAGTGATCGAAATAATTATAGCCGTACCACATTTTGACAAGTTTTAACACATAATTTTTGTTGTTGTTTAATTTTGGCTAATTTTTTATAAAATTATACTTAATTTTATAACAAAACCCGTGTAAATCCAGGCTTCATACCTTATGCAATATTTAAAAAAAAAAAAATCAACAAACGTTCGTAAAAATTTCTGGCTTTTTTAATTCGATTTTCTAGAAAGATTCTGAATATGCAGTAGCTCATTGAATTCTAGTAGAATAAAGTGCAAGTTTGAAATGGCTAAAAATTATTGTTGGGTTTTTAGATTTTTTTTTTTTGGCGAAGATGTCACGGGATTTCTTCTATTTAAAAAATAAATTGTGTTTATTCGTTATATATGGGCAAAAGAAAAATCTAAAAAATCAACCTTAACTTTTAGCAATTTTAAACTTATAATTTTCTACGAGAATTCAATGAGCTACAGAACGGCATACTCAGATTCTTTCCGGAACATCTAATTAAAAAAGCTAGAGATTCTAAAGAAAGTTTGTAGGATTTTTTTTTAAATATGGCAGAAAGTTTGAAACTTGTTAAATAAAGAACTATATTTTTTATATAAAAATAGGTAAAATTAAATAAAAACAAAAATGATATGTTAAAACTTGTAAAAATATGGTGCGGCTATAATTACTTCGACCACTGTATATACATACACTGCCAGCAAAAAGTATTGGCACAGCAAATTTTTTTCTAATATTTTTCCTGCCAATTTTTTACAACATTATGGTTCATTCTATAACAAAAAACAACTTTTTAATCAGATTTTTTAGATTCTTTTTAGTACGCAGATTTGTTGCCCAGTCAATTTTATTATAATAAATCACAAGTTTTAAGTAGTTAGAAATTCCGATTAATTTTTGGCAGTTTTTTTCACGCAGTCTTTTCCATATAAAAAAGTTTTTTTTTCGAAAATACTTTATATGGAAAAATGCAAAAGACCTTCTCAAAAATCAATGCGATATTTGACCAACTCCGAACTTGCATTTTTTTACTAGAATTTAATGGGCTGTAAAACCTGCATTCTCAGAAAAATCAAAAGGTTAAAAATTTGCATGAACATTTCCTGAATTTTCGCGAGTTTTGCACGAGAATTAGGAATTATATTTTTATGTTTTNGCGCACATTTAGTTTCATCGCTTAATTTTCCTAAACGAAAGCATTGAATACATTTACCCGTTGTTATCGTTCTAACGAAGCAGTCTGCTATGTATTTCTCTGGAAGTTTTCGCATTGAATTACCAGATGTAGGAAATTACGCCTGTGCGAAGTGTATAGAATATTCCTTTCAAATTTAACTGAATATTTGGCATGCATACATAAGCATTTAGTATTTTAGTTATGGTTGGAATATTGAAATTATTTAAGCAGTTTAGTTTTAAACAGGACGCAAGAGTTAGGATTGAGTATAGCCATGCAACTGATTTTAATAGTTTTCTTTTATTTTATGCTTTCATACAAATAACAAATAAAATAACAAATATCCGGTCTAACCACTTTTTTGAATTTAAAAATGGACAGCCGGTTTTTTTTTCAAATTTCCTTTTATAAAGGGTCCACGATAATCACCCTTATTATGATTATCGTTACCTCAGTCGTTCGTCGAAAATTGAGATTTATTGCAAATTAATTTTCTTGTTATCCGTTGGAATATAAAAAAGTATTCAAAACGTATCAACCGGGATAAAGGTGAGTAAGAAACCCCTTGTCATGTTGTATTCAACACTACTCACAACCTGCTTTTGTTGTTATCGATAAAAAAAAATCACTTCATACATATTTTTGCCTGCTTAGCACAGGCGTTAATTTGTTTTTATTGTCTCGTTTTATAAGTTCAATATGCACAAATTACTTAAACCTAATTTTCTTCTCATTAAAATTTCAGATCCATAACTGACTTCCGCCACAACACAGCAAGCTCTCTCTGTCTGGCAGATTGTTGGCAGTCCGGTTGGTGGAACGAAAACCGATTATCCACAATTTAATTTACATAAATGATGCGTCATGAAGCAGCCAGTGGACGCTAACCACATTGTGTCGACACTGCTGGAGGCCGCTGATGATGCTGCGAGTACGAAATGACGAAGCAAAACGCAGATGAGACCGCGACAAGTGCAATTAAATATTTATTGTCACTGTTATTGCAGCAATTAAGCGCGCCATTAAAAAAGAAAGCGCGCATCAAAAACAAGAAAAAGAGATAGTAAAATAAATAAAGCAATAGCAGCAAAGGAAGTAACAGACAGCAAATTTGTGAAAGTGGGTAGTGCGAGCTGGTATTGAAGCACCGAAACGCGGCGGAAATTGAGCGTTTTTAATTGCAGTAGACATTTGATAAGCTTGGCCTACCTACTCTCATTCCTAAACAGCAATACTAAAGCCCAACAAATTAGAAAAAATACCACAAAAATCAAAGGAGTACTGCGAATCTCTGCAAGAACAAAGAAAATGTCGGCGCCCATTGTTTTTAAGTTTCCCACCATATTGCTGCTGTTGCTGCTGCAAACGCAATACTATTATGACTTGCGTGCAAATGCTGTTAGTGTCGCAGCCTCGTTGGCAGCAGATACGGAAGTGGGCGCGGAGCACGCGGATTCGTACAACATACGCCATGGACGCTCTAAGGTGCGGCACTCCAATGAAAAGGAGCATATCCTGTGGAGAGGCATGCGGCCGCAAAATGTAGCAGCAGTCAAGGCAACGCCAATGAAGGGGAATATTGTAGCAGCCAGAAGAGCGGATGCTAGCGAGGGGAATAGGAAAAACGCCACAATTGTTTCACAAAGCTTCGCGCACACGGAAAGGAGCAGCGGATTAGTGGCCGACTACGTTGAAAACGGCGCGGCGCGAAATGTTACAACTCGCGATGCCATCGATAAAAGGTATGATGGCAGCAGCAAGCACCAAAATCATGTGGGAAGAGTTTGGAGCAGTTATTCAACCAGCAGCATTCAAACTGGTAATGGGCATTTGTTTGGCAGCGACTATTGGCGTAACTCAGACGTTAACGGTTCGCTGATTAATGCGACAGACGCGAGCTCACTGCATCGCTTAAGTATGATCTCACATGCTATGACCGCAACGCGAGCGCCCATGGCTACTGCAATGGTCTCGCGACGATCGCTTGGTTACCCCTTTGAGGCGCTGCCGGTAACCGAAACACCAGACGCTGCAGGCGCTAGTGGACTCGTCACCACTGAGGCGCCAGTTACACACCGCATACGTAAACTGCATATGAAGAAGATTATGGAAAGCATAAGGAATAACGTCGATAAGAGGCTGGGTGCCAAGCTGTCAAAGAACCATCATCGCAGTCTGTTAACCGCCGAGCAGCTACAGGGCAGGCCAATGGATGTAGAACTCAACCAAGTGCATAACGCTGCCACTGATGATATAACCACCGATAGTGACGTGAGTGTCGCAGATAGCGCTAGCAGTGAGGATGGTGGGAGTTTCGAGCGCACAGATGAAGCTGTCAGCGAAATTGATGACGAAGACAAAGGTGACAACTTCGATAGCCGCAATTATGATGCAAACAATGACATCAACAATGTTAATGTAGGGATTGAGAATGTCAATGGAGATGTTGAAGTGGCGAGTGACAGCGTCGGAGATGAATTGGAGAGTGATGACGTGAATAGTGAAGACGTCAGCAACAATGCGCTAGAAGCTGACGTTGACAGCAGCAGCGATGAATTAGGTGAGGTTTTGCAATTAGCTGATGATTTGGATGTGCCAGATAATTCAATGGAAGACATATACCAGAATGATGAGTATCCGGTCACATCACCTAGCTATGTAACCACAAGTTCAGATGGCAGCACTGAGCTTAATGAGAATGCTAAAATGTTTACAACTTTTACACCATTTCTCGTCGATGGCGACGATTCATACGCAACGGAAATGTTGAGTGATGGCATTGTGAATTCGGACGCTACAACCCAAACTCCGGCACTGAAACCGCCTAAAAAGGTGACTACAAAATTGCAGCTTGTGCCAAAAACGACTGCAACAACAAAGCTTATACCATTGCCCACAATGCCGACCAAAGACGTAGTACAGTCGAAGCTTGCGCTCAAACGCGCGTGGAAAAATCAAACTATTTCCGTAGCGCCACAAAATGAAATTACTGCAATAGAGCGACCCCTATGGCCAACTGACAGTGTCACACTTACAATAGAACCAGCCACTAAGGTGGTACGAGTTAAAGCTAAACCGATTAAATCTAATGGCAATTCCATTGTTGACCCCTCCGAGCTACCCCATTTGGTCGGCATGATACGCCTTGAAAGCGCCGAGATGGCAAATGACACAGCAGATTATAGTGAGCTCGAACCAAAAAACTACACAACCAACAAGCTTCTCACTCCAGCTGTCCCATCGTCAACAGCCCCCAAAGTTGAGAGCGATGAGTTTGGTTGGTCAGCCAGCAATATTTCCGTGGAGCCAAATCACTTGGCCAGCACTAGCGTTGGTGGCATCGGGCTGGAACGACAGCAAGCATACGATATCGAAGAGATAAGTTTCGAAAATGTCGGACTTGATAACTTGGACGACATTACCATGGACGACGGTCATATGGACAATCGGCATGCGCACGGTTTCCCGGTGAGTAATTCGGGTGATGTGAGCACGGATGTGAATGGCGGTGAAGACGGTAACGAAACGGAGGGTGAAGACGATACGAATCGGTTTTTGGCGGGCGTGGTCGATGCGGCAAACGAAGATGAGATTTACGATTGGGATGAGATTTCGCGAAATAATCGACGGAATTTGATGCGTGGTCGGGATGTCGTTACGAAATTTTTGCAAATCGTTGAAACGCAACATTTGCTCGGCGCTAATTGTGAGGCGGGCACGTCGTTAAATTTGGGTGAAGGCGTGGTCGATCGCTATGCGCAGGATCGTTTTCGTGTTGAAGCAGAGGTGGCAGTGAATCGCGCCAACATGCTGAGCAGGTGAGTGAAATGAGGGAATGAAAATGTGTATATTTGTTTTTTTTTTGGAGGAAAGCGGAAGGTGTATTTCAAAGTAGCAAATTAATCAAAATAAAAATCTAAATTATAGCTCTGTGTAACATTTTAGGACCTTAACAGAATAAAGCCCCAACGATAGTATCCATTCGCGATAGTCAGCCTTTAACTTTTTCAAAGTTCAAAGTTTGGAGTTTGACTGCCACGGATGGGTGCCACCACTTGAACATTATTCTATTGAGACTCTAAACAAAATCTTTAAAATGTTTCTACAGTTTAGTTAAAGTAGCCATATGTGCTATTTTATAGCTTCTTTCTTCTTTTCCATTTAGTACTTCCTACTACTCGCGCGACGGAAAATGCTTTGGTTCCATAATTTCCGCCTTTGAAATTTTTGTGTGCCTTAAAATTTACGAATTTAATATAAACTCTGCCTAAGGCAAGCGATTTATTTTGTGTTAACAAAAAAGAAAGTACACAAAAGCGGAAAATGCGCAATAATCGTGCGACGGCAAGAGTGGTATTCGATTTAAAAATCAATAATACTAGAAAAAATAAATGAAAGTGTAGTATTAAACAAAGTGCGAACCGTCAGTAGCTCTAAAGGCGAAAGATAAACAACAAGAAATGAAATGTAAATAAATGAAAGTTAAACAAAGTGTACACAGTCGATCGCAATTTATTTGGTCACAACTCCTATTTCAAAAGGCAAAGCATAACGGCATGTATGTAGTAGTATATAACTATAAGTAAATAATTGTAAGGGATTTATTTTGCAGGCGACTCAACTTTAAATTGAATTAAAGCGCATATGATTTAATGAAAGTAACTGAAATTTCCACTGAGGTGTAGTAGGTAGCAGTGCGTACTAGCAATTCGCAGGGCCTGGTATCCAGCCCAGTTTCCGACCATAATCAAAAATAAAATAAAGAAAAAAGTTTTTATTTTCTAATAGCGTGGCTCCTCCGCAGGCAATGGCAAACCTCGGAGTGCATTTCAGCTTTGAAAAACAGCTTCTCACAAAAATAAAATCGCCGTTCGGAGTCGTGAAAACTTGTCGTTGCTCATTGCGTCACATTTTCTTGGGTCTGTAGGCTTAAAAGCTCGCCTTGTTCAAATCCCTCATCACGTTACATATTTAGCAAGATCTTCGGATTAGGAATTAGTATGCAAATCCTATCTTTCGCTCGTCTGGCTTGCTAATGTGATAAAAACTGTTGATTTTCTGCGCCCTTGTTGACAAGNTAATCAAAAATAAAATAAAGAAAAAAGTTTTTATTTTCTAATAGCGTGGCTCCTCCGCAGGCAATGGCAAACCTCGGAATGCATTTCAGCTTTGAAAAACAGCTTCTCACAAAAATAAAATCGCCGTTCGGAGTCGTGAAAACTCGTCGTTGCTCATTGCGTCACATTTCCTTGGGTCTGTAGGCTTAAAAGCTCGCCTTGCTCAAATCCCTCATCACGTTACATATTTAGCAAGATCTTCGGATTAGGAACTAGTATGCAAATCCTATCTTTCGCTCGTCTTGCTTGCTAATGTGATAAAAACTGTTGATTTTCTGCGCCCTTGTTGACAAGGTGGGCCGCACTGCGTCTCACCCCAGCATCATATGGCATTCGTAAAGTGCACAGTACCATTACATTACTTAACACCATAAACATGAGATATCTTTCGTGGTAATGCTGCACTTTACAAAAGCTTTCGACACAAAACAAATCCAGGATAGTAGAGGACGTAGTGGCATCCTCTCTCCTACAGGGACTAAAACGGTGGACGGCGAATTAGCTGGCTGGCTGTTAGTCGTCAGTTACTTTCCGAGATAAGTTCGATGAATAAAACAAGAGGTGACACAAAACGGTATTCTATCTTCGCAATTGTTTACCGTCTACACCTCGAAGCAACCTTTTTGCCATCTGGATAGCATAAAAATTTCTGAGATGATTAAACCTAAAATTTTAATGGTTACCTATAACAGCTTTCTCTCCTTTCCCGCTGCGCAATCAACCAAAATTATTGACAAGTGAAAAGCTGAAACAAGTTTTTCAAATCACTCGTCGGCAGAATTTGTGGCAAAGACAAATAAACACTCTATTAATGAGAGGAAATTGGCCGGCGGGTTCTAAATTATGCGGCACCTGTTTGATTAAGTTGCAGAGTTGAGGACGAGAGTTAAACATACTTACATAGGTACGTAACTCAACAACTGAACTCGACGATATACCGACAAGAGAAACCGACGTAACTCTAGTAGAACTACATAAGTTCTGCATACTGTAGCATACTGTGAGGGTCGAAATTTAGGAAACACATGTTCGGCGTGTGAGCGATGTAAACCACTCAAACTCATTCAGATCTACTTTGTTTCTAAGATTTTTTAGAGGGTTTCATACTCCTTTCAAATCTGGTGGATTTACCGGTCAATTGGTTCATGACGAGCGGCAGCTTTCGCTGTAAATTACAAATAATGAGATTTTCATCTTCAGACCTTTGGGCGGCCCAACTGTTATTCCATCGGCTCTGTAAGATTATTGCAGTAATATACCGTTGCTTTGCTGGCACACTTCTCAATGGGAAGAATAATCTCTGAGTACTGAATACTTGACACATTCTCTCTGTGAGGCTCAGTAGTGTCAGTGGGCTAAAATTCATGAACCAACCCCTTTTTGTACGGCTGATGAGACAAATATCTACGAATAATGCGTCGTGTGGACTTTTAAGGAAATCTCGCTTACGGTCTTCTCCTCTCTTTACGACTTTGGTCGCTCAATCCGAGCGAAAAGGAGGACATATGCAACGACAAGATCCTTGTGCCCTAAGGTGAACCATAAGTGGTCAAAGAAGCTTCCACAAAGCCCCAACTATCGCTATTGATGTGTGTTTTGGTCACTGCAACACTAAGTTTGTCAATGAACTTGTCTTCAATGTGAATGAAATTTTGGGGATCGTTAATTTAAAGGCAGATATGTGACACGATATAGTCAGCAGGCGATATAATAACTACAGAAGATTGAGATATAAGCATGTCTACTCAATAAGGCTGGTAGTTCTATTCGAATTTTTTGGATATCGCGATAATCCGGACATTCGAATATTCGAGCAGCTGATTAAAAAATCGGAATATCCAGATATTAACAGCATATCCTGATAACAAACTGAACGAATATTAATTGGATATACAAATAGAAAATTTAACGGGATATACGAATAGTAACCGAATCTGAACCGAATATCCAGCTATTAACCGGATATGCGGATAACGAACTAGAACACGCATATCCGAACGGATACCCGAATACACAGTTCCAGCGTTACTAGTGAACGATTAATAAAGCACTTTTTTAATAGCGAGATTTAAGCAATCCTTAACGGAAATAATGCAAAATTTAGTTATTCATTTAGAATTTAAATTTTTTGTACAAAAACCTCTTGCCCTAAATTCACAATTTTTCTTACTAAATTTTCCTTTTACGGTTCTTCAATCTCTTCTGGAAAGTGCAATCAGAAAATCTTACCATAAATTCTTGCTGCCAGTTTGTCCTAGAGTATCAAAATAACAAGCAACCCACGCTGATTTCCAAGTCTTGAAAGCTTATCTACTGATAGAAGAGTATAAAAATGCCAAATTAGGGGAGTAAAAAATAGTGATATGTTCACTGACCAGTGAACTATGGACGCAAAAATTGCCACAACTGAGTGGCGCGCTGACAACTAACGATAACCCGGCATCTACGAAAGCGTGCGTTATAAATATAGATATGTTTGTATACTTGCGTACGTACAAAAATACATAAGAATGTATGTTAGCACTTGTTTGTGAATGTCCGACGATATTTGACATTTCAAGGATACTTGAAGCAACTTAGTAGATTCATGTCATGCCAAGCAATACTAAAAACTTACTCCTTGCATGTTGTATGAAAATAAGTACCTACATATGTACATGTACTTCTATTGTATAAAAGAATTACATATGGTATGTATGTACATTAGGGTGCACCACTTTTCACAAAAAAAAAAAATCGGTACTGTTTTCTATTCTACATAAAGGAAGGCAGTGTCACACGATTGGTATATTTGTACGGATTTGTACTTTTTTTACGCTGACTATCGGTACAAAATAAAAAAAAATTTGATGAACATTTTTTTATAGTCACACGATTGCTACATTTGTACAAATTTCTACATATTTTTATATTGGGCTATCGGTATAGTCACACGATTGGTACAACACAGCGAACTTCAATTGAAAAATTTGAAAAAAATTGTTTTTTGTTATTGGGATGAAAAAAAAAAATATTTGTGCATTCTCATGATTGGGATATTTGATTTGCACCAAATTTTGGGCAAATGGCCATTCGTGTGACACTGCCTTAAGACTTCTGCCAAAATATAGTGGAAAATTATTAAGATTTGCGTTAGCTAGACTTATTTGCAAATACCTGCAAAATCGTTGTTTTTTTTTTTTATAAAAGTAGTTTTTTTTTTAAATATTTTTTTTATTAAGAAATCACCCCAGATGGTATAAGGGTTTCAAGCTAAACGACATGCATAACACTGTTTAAAAATTTTAACAACGGAATCAGAATATTGAGATTTTTGGAGGCATTTTCAAATCGATTAACCTGACGTGAATCTAAATATTTTTCCGAAATATTTTGGCGGAAGTCTTAGAACAGAATTGATTTTAATTCCGTTGGAAAACCCGCAACTTTTGTTTGGTGATGCACCCTAATGCTTATCCATATGCCCGTTTGAATGTACGAGCACAAAAAATTGTCTAATCCCATGAAAATAGTTGCGAGTTTTATAAAATGTGCTTCTATGAAAAAGTATGTTTTGTATCTACGCAATATATTTGCCATATACATGAACATTAGACTGAATCTCCAAAAAAGTTGCGTTTTTTCTACCTGGACTACTAAACTTATTATATTTGAAGACGTCCACCAAAAATATTTCGGAAAACTATTAGGAATTACCTCAA